AAGACCAAAAAATAATGAATTCACATGTGTTCTATTTACATAATGATCCAGCTTCTGGTTTGCCTTGCTCATTGGCGTTGGCCTTATAGATTTTATCAGTTCTTGATTTTCCCTAGCTAGCGCTTCTCCTAAACTCTTCAAGAACATTTTCAGAGCCACCATCTACTTATCAAGTGTTTCATATCTCATCAGTGGCCCAGAAGTGCTGAAAACATGAACACATTCTTTTCTATACGTTTAATAATACAAGCATCCCTCTTTGTCTCTAGCAATATTTTTTCATTAAACATCTCTTCATCAGATATTAATATAGCCTTCCATGGGTCACTGTTTATGTGTGGCACATTTTCTGCCCTTTTAACTTTCCTGATTTTGATGTCTGCATCCTAATATTTTATTATTCATATCCAATTCTTTACACTCTAAGTCTTTGCTTCTTACATATTGGGTGTGTAGCTCAGCTTGACCGTCCATATCTTCTAATTGAAACACTCAGTCTATTTACATGTTATTATGGACATGTTAATATACTGATAATGTGTGCATAGGTACGTTTAATCCACATAACACCCTGTGCTCTTGTCTCACCACAGCTTTTCCTCCCTTTTCTGAGCTCTTTTAATTCTATCTTTGTACTATTGAGTTATACACTTTTATTCTTTTAATTACCAGAAATTTCAACACACGTTTGATTTATAATTTAGTATCTTCCTTGAGAGTTTATTTGTAGGTTCTAGAAGGGGAGTGCAACTACTCATACACCCTTGACCAAGGAACAGTTCTCCTCTATCGGGTTATTGTCCAGTCGACCCAGGCTAGACTCAGACTTACAGCCATCCTCTTGCCTCCCAAGTCTGGGATTACAGATGTGCCCACCACCACACCTGGCTTTCCTGATTAGCCATTTCATTTTTCTTTCCTAGACTCTAATTACACATGTATTAGAATTCATCACTTGTTTCTATGTCTCTTATGTTGTATCTTCTGTCCCATTACATTTGCTCCTCTTTCTGGACTATTTATTTATTTAGAGAGAGGGTCTCACTGTGTAATTCAGGTGAGTCTAGAACTACGTGGTCCAGCCTGGCCTCAATCTCTTGATGACTTTCCTGCTTCAGCCTCCCAAGTACTGGGGTTATAGGAAAGCAGCACCGCACCCAGTCTCTCTCTGCAATTCTTTTAATGGAGTTTTCTACTCTGATTCCTTCCGAAATTGCATCTAATTCATTACTAAATACATCCACAGAAATACAATTTTAGTTACTGAATTTTTCAATGCAAGAACCATCATTTTTAAACAGGAGGAATAAACACTACTGTTCTATCAGACCACAGTTTACAAAAGCTTATTAAATATTTTATAAGGAATTACAAGAAAAGGTATTTAAAGGTTCTCAATACATTATACACATGTATATTATCACACTGACCCCACAAAGTATAATTTTTAAATATTTTAAAGCAAAAAATAAGAACTGTAGTTTTTTGTTTTTTTTGTCTTTTTCCTTTTTATCGGTACCAGGGATTGAACTCATGACTGCCTGCTTGCAAGGCAGGCACTTATGCCGCTGAGCTAAATCCCCAGCCCCAGAACTGTAGTTTTTTATAATGAAATTTTCACTCTCATCTTTTCTCAATCCACATTAAGTAGTTTTTAAGTCAATGTCTGATAACTCTATTATTTGGATCCCCTGTGGGCCTGTTTCAATTGTCAATTATTTCTCTTAGTTTTCAAATGAAATTGTCTTGTCCCCTTATATTCTCGATTGGTTTTCCTTGGGTGCCAAACAAGATACATAAAAAGTTATTATGGAGATAATATGAAATTTAGAACTTTTTTTCAGATTTCCATTTGTTTCTTGAAGATAGCCAGAGCGCTAGTAATTCTTGATTAATGAAATCCAATCATAGATAAGAATTTGGACCGCCCTTCCAGTCCTTGTGAGGATGTTTCTATCTTGTTTATTTATGTATTTATTTGGTACTGAGGATCAAACTCACGACCTTGCACTTGCCAGGTGGGCGCTTAATCTGCTGAGTTACACCCCCCACCAGATGTTTCCATCTTGTTCATTCCCATTTCTCAGGAAGAGCCCTCTGGAGTCTACACATTGGATCTCTCATCATATCTCACTCTATCATACATTTCATACACGTTTCCTTTTTTTTTTCTCTCCCCAGTGGTGGTGCCGAGGACTGAGCCTTGGGTTTGCATATGCTAAGCAGGTCCTCTACCACTGAGCTGTGTGCCTGGCCCATTGTCCACCCTCACGGTGACATAATACTGCCCTTTGTATGATGCAAGATAACCAATTTAGTCACTTGGTGCAGCAGTCAGTTTTCCTGACACCCATAACGTGAGGGAGGAGCTTAATTTGGCCCAGTCTCAGGGCATTCGGTCACGGTCAGCTGGCTCCAAGGTAGAACCATCGTGGCAGGACATGGTGGAGAACTGTTTAGTTCACGGAGGCCAGGGAACAGAAGCAAGGGACAGCACCAGACTGAAAGCAGGGAGAGCCGAGGTCCCAGTACCCAAAACCGCATCTCCAGGACCCGTCCAGAGGCACCCGGAGCGTGCTCCAGCTCTCTGGGTGGCTCCCAAAACAATCAAATTGACACAATCAAGCTTCAGGGCCACACTGGGCACCTGGTTAGAGCTCATGGTGCTCTAGCAGCTCAGCAGCACCCTCTTGAGGTCTACCACTCTGCAGGGGTGACACACAGATTCACACTGACAAGGGAGACTTCTTGAAGATAGGCACAGACTTCTGGTTCATAGATCCAACCGAGCAAGCACTGAGCTGGGCAAGCGCTGACATTCTCAAAACAGGTTATCTCATTCACTCAGAGCAATGCCCACAGCGGATGTCTTCTAGTGGACATTTTCATGGGCTACAAATACTAACAATTCTGTACTCATTCTAAGAATTCTAGCTACAAATCTCTCCCGCAATAACCTTGTCCACTGGTTTTAAAGTATCGTGTCTTCCATTCCCGGATTCTTCCTATCCTAACCAGCTGACCAACCCGTTAGCCGCTGCTCTCTGCCTCAAACCACTTTTTGACTCGCAAGTGGATGCTACCGAAGTTCTGCCAGTGGGAGTCTGCTTCGCCACTCGTTTCTACACTTGGCTGCTGCCCACGTATTGTGTACCCTCCTCCATAAAACTCTTCTACCTTTCACTAGTTGACACAGGGACTCCCCAAAGGACAGCACATCTGAATTTGGGGAGAAACAAGGCAGTAAAGACACACACATACCTATATGCCATGCAAATCTAAGCTGCATGCTGGCTCACTGGTATTTTTTTCTTCTCCCTAGTCCAACTTTGTATGTAATACTTCCAATTTTAGAATGCAGTGCTATGGTACATACTAGGTTTATAATTCTTAGGCCAGGTAACTTGCAGTTAGTTTATAATGGGGCTGCACAGAAAATACTCTATTCCAATTATCCCGTAGTATAGCAGCAAACCAGAACTGCTTTTCAAATGGTTAACATGTTAACAGGTCACTACAAATCCCTGGTCATTTGGTTTGAATGCCCCATCTAACTCATGTTGAAACCTGATTACAATAGTGTCAGAAGGTGGGACCTCTCAGAGCTGTTCATTCAGTGAAGAGGACTTCATGGATTAATGAGGGGCTGGTTCCTTCCCCACCTTAGCCCCTAAACCAACCTCAGAATTGAGGTTCCCTAGATGGAACTTTTCCCTAATTCACACTTTGGCCAATTCCTTCTCTTCAGCCCACTACCACTCCGCCACCCACCACCAGAACACCAGTGTTGGTCAGTTCTCTTCTCCCAAGATCCAGGTCTCTGCACTCCTAACTTCAGTATTCTGGATCCAAATGTGTCTACCTGGTTGTCGGGGAAGGGGAGAGATTAGAAAAGGAAAATGTTAACTACTTGTGACTAAACTGCAGCACTCCATTTTGTAATTCTTTTCCAACTATTATATTCCTAAATATAAAAACATTTTGGAGTTGGGGGGAGGGGAACCCCACTGTGACAGAACTGCCTCTTACAACTTTCAGAGGAAGAAAGAAACTACCATTTTAATTTGGCTCCTTCGTGCTAAAACATCACTTTCAATCTTTGCTGGATCCTCCCAAAATTCCTAGTCTTGGTTCTTGACTCCAAAATGATGTGGCTCACATAACCACTTAATAATCTTCAACACAGGCCTTGCTCATTTTTATGTCCTATGGCCAGTAAAATAGTGGGAATCATTAGTATGGAAAAAGGAAGAACACACACACTCTTAAATGTAAGATAGTCAAATATTGTTAGAAAAACATGGGCCAGGGCTGAGGATATAGCTCAGCAGCACATAAACCTGCCTGGCAAATGCAAGGTCCTGAGTTCAATTCTCAGCACCCAATAACAATAAAAATAGAAGAAAAACATGGGCCAGGGATTTATCTCAGTGGCATAAGAACCTGACTAGCAAGCACGAGGTCATGAGTTTGATCTCCAGTACAGAAGTAAAGAAAACCATGGGCCAGGAAGTATAAGTAATTTTCAGCTTTTGCTTCCCTGTGATGGTTTAGAAAAATCCCTACTTCCTTACCTACAATAATGCATCTCAATTATCTTAAAGATTTTTAAAACCTTTATTAGTACATACTTGCAGTACATGGTTGGTGCACCGAACAGTTCAACCATCTTTTAACTGGTGTCACACTCTGAAAGGATAAAGCAATAAAAATACTGGTCTGAGTCCAACCTGGACAAGTTAGTGAGGCCTTGTCTCGAAAAACATAAAAACTTTAACATGTACACAATATATATCGACATATCCCAAATCAACTGAATTGGCAAAAGCTAAGACACACACTTATCCTGTAAAATTTATATCATCTGACTACTGGAAGGAAAATAAGACAAAACGCTTCAGTAACCGAACTCAGCCAATTTCACATTCAAATTAGGACTTAATTTCCAAATCTCTTCTCAAAGGGCAATATTAATGTAATACAAATCAAAATGCCTAAAATTAATACACCAAGGCAATTTTATTACATAAATTAACCCATTTATTGTAGACTAGGGATGTTTCAAACAGTAGAGCTTCTACTGGTCTTTCAATTCCTTCAGTCTTCTGATGGCTGACTTGACTGTGACTGCAGAAGTGGTGCTGTTAAAAAAAATTTAGTTCCCAACATAATTAGGATGTTAACATGAAATAGCAAGTAAGTAAATCCTGCCTCACTGTTATCTTATAATCCCATAGGCTCTTTCTAAATTCTTCTCGGAGAAAATTATATGGAGATAGACTACAAATATTTTGCTACTCAATCCAAACATTTAACTAACATTAAGACTACTACTCATGCTGGGCGTGGGTGGCCCACAATCCTCCCAGCACTGAGGCTGAGGGGTGACAGCTTGGGTTCAAGGTCAGCCTGGAACACAGTGAGACTGTCTCAAAGAACTGCTCAGCACCAAACCTTATACAGGGTGTGGTGGCACAGATCTGTAATCCCAGCACTGTAAGAGCCTGAGGCAGAAGGGTCACAAATTCAAGATGAATTTAGGGAACTCAGCAAGACCCTGTCTCAAGATTTTACAGAAAGGCTGGGGATATAACTCAGTACATGTGGGCACTGAGTTCCAGCCATATTAAAGGGGATGGAGTGGGGGTTATATCCTCAAGCTCTTGCAGAATCAGAACACAAGCTCCCGCCATTTTATTTTCTCAAACAGTTAAAAAAAAGAGCAGCTGCCTCAAGAGCCCAAACTGGCTTCATTAAAAAGGAAAACATAAAAAGCTAACCGATTACCAGAATGGTATGGTAAGATACCAAGTTCTTTGAGACAGGGTCTCACTATGTAGTTTGTTGGAACTGGCCTCGAGTTCGCAGGCTCCACCCACCTCAGCCTCCTAAGTGTGGGGGATTACAGCGGTGCACCACACCTGGCCCTGCTGTATTGTTTTAAAAAGCAGCCAGGTGTGATGGCACATACCTATAATCCCAGCACTCAGAAGGCTGAGGCAGGCAGAAGTATCACCACAAATTCTAGGTCAACCAGAACTACACAGTACATTGGAGGCTAGCTTGAACTAATAGGGAAACCCTGTTCAAAAAAACCAAACAAACACAAAACTAGACCTGAAAATCTGTGTGGATCTGCCAAAATGGTCACTTTTCTATCAGAACTGTACGAAAAGCACCCTTTTCTCCATTTTCCCTTCTGCCATAACCCCTCCACAAGGAGCTTATAGATGTATCATTATTATTTGTATTTCCATGGTTAATTGTAAATAAACTAAAAACTTAAAATTCAATTTTTAAACACACTAGCCATCTATTATTGTGTGACTAGTAAATTTGTGGGGATTTTTTTGTTTTTGGTTTTCGGTACTGGGAATCAAACTCAAGGCCTCATGCTTAGCAGGTAGGTGTGGTACCACTGAGCTACACTCCCAGTCCCCTTTTTGTTTTTTGAGACAGGGTCTCACTACGTAGCCCAGGCTCAGCTCAAACTCACGGTATTCCTCCTGCCTAGGCCTCCAGAATGCTGAGATTACAGGTGGGTGCCCACGCTGGGCTGTGACTAGTACACTGAACAGCAGGGATACACACTCAAGACTGTCTCAGGCTTAACTCCCAAAATTAGAACCTTCAAGCAGCCGTAATTTCCAGTTAAGGGTTAGGCTAACAGTCAAAGCAAGCAGTAACCACACAGACAGATTTATCTCAGCAATGCTGAGTTAGCCCAATACTACAGTACGTAGAAAAGACAAAAGGTTTAGAGCCAGGCATGGTGGCCCAAGCCTGTAATCCAGGCACTGAGGTTGAGGTGGGAGGATCGTTGTGAGTTCAAGACTTTGGGGTACAAAGTGAGATCAAGGCCAGCCTGAACTGCATAGCGAGACCCATAAAAAAAGAAAAGAAAAAAGGTGATCCAAATGATACTTTTAAATGAACCAACGTGTTTTCAAACTATTTATAAAAACAACTAGTGCAAATCAAAATTCAGTACCCGTTCAGATCCCACTAATGCACCCAACACAAGAGAATGTTCAAACTGGTGACCATAAAACTCTACAACAGAATTGTGTAAATCAGATTTAACTTTTCTGTGGCTTTGTCTCTATTCTCTGAACAAGTGAAAACAAACCACAGCTCTGTAGAATTCAGAAAAGCCAGAAGCATCATTATTTTCTTGGTCTTGTGGAAGAATTAAAATTAGCCCATCTGGTGCCAAAACTGCAAATGGCTTATGTGTACCCACAGTTCCAAATACCCCAAGAAACGGACTCACTTGTAGGTCCAGGCACCACCCGCCACTGTCTTCATGCAGGAACCACAGTGCCAGATCCCTACAGCCCGTCTCTTCATCTTGGTCTGCAAAATTAAGAGAATCAATTTTCACCATTAACCCAAAGCGTTAGAGGAAAGCTAACTTTAGTATACAGAATGCAGTAAAATATTAAACAAAAACTTTCAACAAAACCACCAGAATGTTATTAGATGCAGATTGCCCTCTTATCCCCTTTTGATACAGAAACACCAGTAAAAACAAACTGACAAACTGACTTATTCCCCACAAAGCAGGCTTCGCTAGGCTGGGTCTTTTATTAAATCGCTTGTTTCGTTCCTTAGTGGTTTTTGTCCAGCTAGGAATGGTTCACAAAATCCAAAGTTACCACCCATACTCCGCTCACCAACGATAATTAGATGCATAATTTTTTAAAAAGTGTTCACCAGCATACAGAAGGAAACCAGCCCTCTCCCCAGAAGACCACTGTACCTTGCCACAGAAGGAGCAGGTATACTTGGCGTGCTGGCTGATTTCAATTTTCTTCACCATTTTCCGGAGGGAGGCACCATAGCGAGTCCCGTATTTACCGACAATGCCGACCTTCTTGGTGCGTTTGGCCTATGGAAAAGCAGGAAAGAAGCAGACGAGCTATGTCTGAGTTGGAACCCAGATTTTGCCATCTCTACATCCTGGTCCCGCACTTCACGTCCGCTGACCTAGTTCTCCTCACGTTTAAGCCGGAAAACCCAGTGTCCCCGCCGGGCCCCGTGCCCCGAGGGTCCTGCATGAAGCCGGCCCGGGTGCGCCGGGCCCCGCCAGGCCGCCCCCGGCTTAGGCAGCGTCCCTGAGTGCAGTTCCAGGACGTGGACAATGGCACGGGGCCCTGGGGAAACGCGGGACCAGGCCTATAGCCAGAGGTGGATGCAGACGAAGAAGCTGAAAGCTCAGATGTGGATGGATAGAGATTTAGGAGTTGACAAACTCGCACTCACCATGGCGACTCAACTTAGGCCCGGACCCAGAGAGGAAGAGACGCGACGCGCAGGCGCGGTTTTAGGACGGCGAGCGGAAGTGCGGATAAGGCCTCTCTAGGAACTGAACTTTGTGGTCTGGAGGTTTCGGTGTGCTTTGCTCCGCCTGCGAAATGTCTGGGGAGACCAATCTCTTCAACAGGGTAAATTCCTGCGCCACAGGTGTTGTAACGACACCTTCCGCAGATGCACGTCCGTATTACCTTTCATATGTCACAAAATAAGGAAACAGATTTTAAATGACTTGCTTAGGGGGCCTTGGCTTAGAGGAGAGCTTGTGACTAAATTTCATTGCTTTCAGCCCTACATTATACTTTCTAAAATGGTCAGACTGGCCCTAGGGATTTAGCTCAGAGGCGTAAGTGCCTGCCTGGCAAGCGCAAGGTTGTGAGTTTGATCCCCGGCACCAAAACGACAACAACAATAACAAAAAACAATAAAATGGTCAGACCTTGTGCTGGATGCTGGAGACAATGGTGACCAAAATTCAAAACTCGACTCAAAACAAGCTGCAGTCCAGCGGGAAAAGTTATGTGGTTATACTAAATTATGAAATTTCTCTGTCAGAGCCCTGAAGGAAAGGAAGATGGCTGTATGAGGACAGGATATGTAAGAGCCTAAAGTCAGAGAAAAGTCTGAGCTTTGAAGGCTGGGAAGAAGTTAACAGTCTCTGGAGTTTGTCCTTCTGGCTTCTCTCCGGTCTGTCGGGTCTGTCGGGTCTGGTGCCCCGCTCCCGGCCCCTCACCCACACCCCCACCTCCTTATCTCACAACCCATTCTTCTGGCCCCAGCCTGAGCTGTAACCAGAGCTCCGAGCACAACCTATTGTCTGTCTCCAAGAGATCAGCCACAGTCTGTTTTCCAGTTCAGGCTGGAAAAGGAGTAGAGACAAATGACACTAGTTCTTCATGCAAAACTCAACTGGAACATTTCACTGCTGTTTTTCAGGGCACGGCCGGAGAACTATTGCTATAACACTGTAAGAGAAACAGCAAGGGATTTAGCTCAGCTGCACAAGTGCCTTCCTGAGAAGCATGAGGTTGTAAGTTCGATCCCTCGTACCAAAAAAAAAAGGAATGTAAGAGAGAATTTGTAATTTCAGAACCAAGAAAGACTGTGACTACAGGACTACAAGGCATTGTGGGGTTACCTGGCCACGTTTCCTGTTATTCACAGAGTTAAATATTATCTGTCACACAGGTCACACATAACTTTGCATGTGCTTATGGTTTTCCTCATAATTATACTAAAAGCAGCATGTAGACAGTCACACAATTAACATGGCCTTAGAGAAGTGACTGATCCAATCTTTGAATTCTTCATGATTTGAGCACAGTGCTGCACAGCAAAATCATGGTGTTCAAGAACAACAGGAACACTTGAAAGGTAATAATATGGTAGGCACAGTCTATGGTTTACATATATGTTCCCACTTCATTTTTATTATGGCCCTTTACATAGGAACAATTATTTCCTTCATTATTAAGAGAGGAATTCTTGTGTAATGGTTGGGAACATGGGCTCCGAAATCACACTGTCTGACTTCGTGGTAGGGCTTTGCTCCTTCCTCGCTGTAAGACTTGTGATGAGTTATTTTATTTTCCTGCGTGTTGGTTTCCTCTGCTGTAGTCTGGGTAATAGTAATACTTACACTGAGGAGTCAATGAATTAAATACATGGAAAGTGCTTGCTGCAGGGCCTGCAACATAGTAAACCCCATATGACTGAAACCATTACTTTTCGAAATGAGTAATTTATAGCTCAGAGAGCCAGAATCTTGTGCCATGTCACACGAGGTGATAGGTCTAGTCAGTTCTCTTAATTGCTGGTTTGTACTAATCCAAGTTATCACACACACACACACACACACACACACACACACACACAAAGTACTTGACTTGGAATCAGGTCTCAGGCACTTGGCTCAGGCCTGACTCTGAAACTACCTTGTGGTATCATTTTGAATGAGCCACAGTATTCCAGAGAGAACCCTCTCCCCACTTCCCAGGAGGCAGTACCTTTATTTACAGAGAGGAGCTGGACTAAATGACCCCCAACTTCCCACCCATTTCTATCTTCTGTGGTTCCAGGAAGAGCTTCCAGATTCTGTGTATTGTACGGGCAGTGAATGACCATGCAATCACATTATCTCCATCTTTGAAAAATACAATCAGATTGCCTCAGACTGTTGCTCAGTATTAGCAACTTCAATTCCTACCCAAAGCTAACCCCATACTCCTTCCTATGACCTGCTCTGCTTCACCTGGCTCTTGTTCAGCTCTTCAGTGTTATTCTGTATTATCCTTCCTCTCGTATTCCCCCTTTATTGCTCTAACACTGAGGTGTCCAACACCAAGCTAACTACAGAGAGCCTGAAAACATGGGTAGTCCTATTTGGGATCCTGTATCATATGCACACAGAATCTCACAGCCTTGGTTAAAAAAAAATGTAAATGTCTCTTAAAAAAATTTTTTAAGGGCTGGGTTGTAACTCCATGGAGAGCACCTTCCTACCTTCCTAGCATGTGTGGTGCCCCGTGTTTAATCCCCAGCAGCAAACACACAGACACACACACCCATGTACACGCACACAGAAACTGCTTATGTGTCGAAATTATATTGGTTATGTTAGGTTAAATATATTACCAATTTCCTTTCAAAAATGCTCCCATGGAAAAGTTTCTATCACATACGTGGCCTGTCTTACTGTGCAGTTAGATCCCACAGCTCAGTACCTGGGGCTGGCAAATGGAGCACACTGTGGGGTCCAGCCTGCTGCCTGTTTTCACAGCCTGTGAGCAAACAATGGTTTTCACACTGAAAGTTATTTTTTAAATATCAAAAGGATAACTGTGATACGTGGTAAAGAAATTCAAATTTTATTGTACATAAATAGAATTTTATTGGAAGAGAGAGCTTATAACAATTGCTTCTCCCATTAGAGAAGCTCTGCAAAGGCACAAACTTTTTTGTCACTGCTGTTCAGCAAATTATTACTAACACCTAGGACAGTACTGGGCACATACTAGGTACTCTGTAAATATTTATAGTCTTTAAATTTTTTATAGCTAGATACTGGGGTAGTATAGGAATCACCTTGTTATTTAAAGGACATGAATTACCACTAATAAAAATTACTGTGTGCTTTTCTGAGCCAGAAAGGCTAAGATTAGTTCAGGCTCAGAGCAAGCTCCTACCTTGAGACACAGGAATGGCAATGCAGTTCCTGCTAAACTTGGAGACACAGGTGCTGCAGCATGACAAGAGGGACATAAGATTTATAAACAAAATACCTCACTTTATTTTAATAAATTCAGTGATTTTGGTCCCTCTTAGAAAGGCGAGGTAAAACTGTCCCAGTTATCAAAAAATTCAAATCTCCTTTTCGTTGGTGGACTGGCTGACAAATTATTTTCATCTAAGGTGTCTCCCAGATCACAGGCTCCACCTCCTGAGGTTCCGGAAGCACTTCCTGGGTCAAAGGACTCCAAGGCCTCTAGAAGCTCCATGTCAGTTCCATCTTCCTCAAAGGACTTCTGGAGCAGGTCATAGATTGTCTGCTGCTTTGGGTCCTTCATCAGAGAAAGAAAATAAAAGACAAGGGTGAACCCAAACTCCAGTGCGGCACCTCCTCCACGGTGGCTGGTGAGAGAGTTCTAAGGTGAGAGACAGCACATTTTAAGCTGTCAGGGAGCGATATGATGACAGGGACAGACCGTCTCAGTAACTACTACTAAAACAGCTTCCTGCTGTAGCTTTAGTGTGCGAAATCTTGTCTGCTGGGTTAGAAATGAAAACAAAGGCTGAGGATATAATAGTGGCAACCTGGCACTACCTGGCAAACATGAGGTCCTAAGTTTGATTCCCAGTACAAGAAAGGAAAGGAAGGGAAGGGAAAAAGGAAAAGGGAAAGGGCGAAGGGCAAAGGGGAAGGGGCAAAAATCATCATTCTGCTGATCTCTCCTAAGTATAAATTCCCAATTCTCCTAAAAAAGCTAAAGTTACCATATTACAGTAATACATGCATACCCAGCTTTATAGCAGCACAAATCACTATGGCAAAATCACGGAGGCAGCCTACATGTCTATCAGCAGATGAATGGATAAACAAAATGTGGTATATAAACACAATAGAGTGCCACTCAGCCACAACAAAGGATACATTTGACGGATTTGTAGGAAAATACATGGACTTGAGACCATAATACCAAGTGAAGTAAGTCACAGAAGGTTAACAATTACATGTTTTTTTAATGTGAGAGACATAACATAAAGAGCCAAATAAAAGAGACGTATTTAGAAATGGAAAGATAGACTCCATAGAGATAGGAAAGGGATCTTCCTAGGACAGAAAGGGGAAAGCGGGACAGGGGTGGTTGTGTGTGTAAAAGTAATCAAGATGCAATGTGCGTATCTATCAGTCCCCCAACCGGAATGTAACTACTGTGTATATTGCAAACATATACTAACAAAAAGTTCTGAAAAGCACATTCCCAACCTTGACCACTTTTATTCCACAGGTATGCCTGTAACACCTCCACTGACATCCACAGCTCCATAAAACTGAGCTACCTGAAATCAAAATGACCACTTCATCCCCTACCATCGCCCCAGACCAGTTCCTTCCTGGAAATCTCCCACCAGCCTCACAGACTCCTAGCCTGAAATCACAGTGTGTCGTGAATCCTTAGCTGATCCAAATGTGTCCCCACTGTTCTCGTCCATCACACAGCACACGTTAGGCAAGTGCTCTGCCACTGAGCTACATGCCCAAACCTCCTGCCACCCTTGTCATGGGCCGGATCACTTGGTGCCACAGGAACTGCAGCAGCTCAGCTGCTCTCCAGCCTCAGGCTTCTCCCACTGCTGTGGGCCCCCGTCACATCCTGCCTGATTTTCCCTCAGGCTGCCCTTTGACACAATTTCCCTTGTCATGCCACAAATGGACTCCCTGGTGTCTACTTCTAAAATTGCTTTTCTGGCTTTGCTGGGCTTCTGCAATTAGATCTCAATCTAAATGGCCACTATTTGTCACTGTTTCGGAACAGAATCTCCAACATTGGTGAAGTTCCTGGAAAACTGATTGGAAGCAGGTCATGCAAGAACTCCAGATTACTCCATTAATCTCCACCGGCCAGCTCCTGGCCTTTCAGGATTCCAGCCTTTTGCCAGTGATCTTAAAGATCATTAAGGTCAATCAACTACAATCTGCATGTCATCTTGAACCTAAATACTCACCAATCTCTTTTTTTTTTTTGTACTGGAAATCATACTCCAGACCTTGCCCTTGCCAGGCAGGCGCTGTGCTGCTGAGCTATATCCCCAGTCCATCGGCCTCTTTCTCAACAAGTGCAAAGTCAAGAAATGCCACCTTGCAAGGCAGTCATTCCAAGGAGAAATGCTTTTTAATGTGCATTCAATTACAACAGTGGCCAGACTATAAGGAAGCTTGGAGCATGCATAATTAATTGGAGTAAGTTCTATGATCAGATTAGTATTTAATTTCCCCTCTCAGAAGTAAGGCTTAGTGAGACCCAACCTTTTTGGCTTTTGTCTCCCACAAGGGGCCAACATTTTCATTTTCTAGCTGTTAATGAAAAATTTCATCCCTATCTTAGTAAGAAGTTAGTTATTAATCAAAATAAATATTGATAAATTTCATTTCATTAAATTTATCTTGTACTTTAGGCAGAAATTCATAATTCAGAGTAAGAGAGGGAAAGGCCAGAATAACAAAAATGAGTTTGAATGAGAATTCTTTAGAAAAAAGGCTTTTTTCTCAAAGGGCATATAAGTACCTAGGTTCTATTAGAATAGTCACTACTCAACTGCATTAGAGTTCTTTCAAAGACTTTTTAAAAAAGAGTGTTTTAAACTGTCCACAGTACTGTATGCCTGTGGTCCTAAGCACTCTGGGAGGCTGATGCACAAGGATAGCAAGTTTGAGCCTAGCCCGGGCAACTTAGTGAGACCCTGTCTCAAAATAAAAACAGGAAAAGAGCTCGGGGATGTGGCTCAGTACTAAAGCCCCTGTTTCATTTCAGAGCTCCCTGCCCACAAAAGGTTATTTTAAATTTGGCTTACTAAATTATTGAAAAGGATAATTTATAGTTGAGATTTAAAAACTTGCTTGCTATCAAAAAAAAGAAAACAAAACAAAAAAAAGCAAAATTCAAGAAATAAGTGATCTCTGACTCTTATTTACCCCAATAATTAAAATAAGGGAAAAAAGATTCAGTTGCTAAGTAACTGGAAATGAATGATGGAACCTTCAGACTCTTGAGTCTTAGCATCCCCTGCAGGATGTTGCCGATTTAACTCATTTCTGACACTCAGCGATTCCACAGGAGGAAAGGCCCCTGGTAGCCTAATGAGCTGCACGGAGGACACCTTCCTGCACGAGGCTCAGACTTCCCTCACGCTCTCCAGGTAGGAACAGCTGCCCCAAAAGTCACCCTCCAGGAGGCAGAGCCTCCCAGCTTTCCTTTCCCTGTCCACCACTGAGCCGGAGAAAGCAGACATAGCTTTGGAGGTCTCGGAGCACCTTGCTGGATGGCGTCTCACCAAAATGGTGAAGAGGCCGTGACAGGACGTGGGTCCGAGTGTGCAGCCAGGGCAGGCGTGGTGGCCCCAGGGCTGTTCTCTCCAGGTGTGCACAGACAGATGTTCACTGGCCTCTTATGCTACCTGATAATGCCCTTTTTATGTTGCGATAATGTCTTATTAAGTTGTTTAGCCTGGCCCTAATGTTTGATCCTTCTGCCTCAGCCTCCAAGGAGCCTGGATTACAGGCATGCACTACCACAGTGGGCTTAGAACTGCCCTATTTTTAATATTTTCCATTCTATACCAGGGACCAGTCTGAGATAGTACAACAATCCAACAGTTGCTGCAAGGAGTTTGCCATCGGTTTCTGAGGATCTCAAGGAAGAGCAGCATTTGGGAAGGCTGATTTCAAGACTGTGGGACACGCAAGCAGGAGGAGTTGACCTGACTGCTCCCCAAAGAGATGCACACCCGGGTTGAGCGAGAATGATCACAAGTCCACTGCGTTCCGCTCTGGGGCGGGAGGAGTTTCCCAAGGTGACTCACACTCAAGGGCTTGGCAGACAGCTTGATGCCCCCTCTGCCCCTGTGACAAACAACCTTGCAGCATGTTACCTTGTAACTGGCGGCTTCTGTCATTTCTGAGAAATTGGTCTCAGAAAGCCCAGCTTCCCCTAAAACTTTAATCTTCTCTTGAATGAGAGGCCTGCGGGGGAGAGATGAGCTGCATGAATACAATCTGCACAGAAACAAGAGACTGATTAAAAGGGGGCCACTTTCCTCACTCTGGCGGGACTATCATGTGTTTAGCACCTCACAGCATTGCGTCTCACAAGGCACAAACATCCATCCTGAAGTATTTGGCCACTCTTGATTGAAACCAACCTCCCATTTAGGGCTTACAACGGCAGGTTCAAAATTTCAATGCGAAAAAACTCCAATGGGAGACGTATAGGAAGTAAATGCTCTCATTATAAAAACATTTTGAACCTGGTGATGTCATTAGCTGCCCACATAACAGAGGTCAGTAGGTTACCCGTGTACACTGCAGAGATCAGACACTGACTCATAGGGCTGGACACAAGGACAAGCAGTGGACAACACTCAGATCATTAAGACACTTAAACTGGAAAGAGGAAAGAGCATTTTGGGAAGTTTTGCTTAGTTAACAGACACAAATCCCCAGGGTGGAAATGCGATTCCAGCTGTGCTGAGACAGTCCATGCTTGGTGACTTTCTCTATAAGATGTGGCTGAGAGTAAACAGGCAAGGGAGATTATCCCCACCCCAGCCAGAACCCTCAGGATGGACAAGGATGCTTTACGAATGTTCCATCTGTGTTTCATCACGATTTGATCCCAATCAGTTCTTTCTCAGTCCAAGTCACCTCCCCTTAGTCCTAAAGATCACCTCCTGTACCCCAAAGCCCCAGAGAATGCTGGTGACAGAGGCCGAATGTGATGAAAGTGACAACAGGTCTCTGGAGGGCTCCCGATGGCAGAAGCGGAAGCACAGAAGGAGCAAGGACACCTGCTCCGTGCTCATCCTCGCTCGGCTCCACATCCAGGCCACCCAGCAGGCATACCAAAGGTAGTCATCAGCGGTGCCTCTCGCCACCAGGTAGTGAATGCCCACAGAGCTCGTCTGTCCGATGCGGTGCACTCGGTCCTCGGCCTGGATCAGCACCTGTGTGTCCAAGGGTTAGGACGGCTTGGTGAAGATCTATACCCAAGCCTCATCTCACCCCCTTAAGGCTTCTCACTGTCTCTCAGGTCCTGTCACCTAACCACAGAGAACCACACACCCCTGCCTGGGGACCAGCACCTGCAGCAGGACATCTGTGGGTGGCCCCTTGGTGCCGAACACCTGGAGGTGCCGTGAGTGGGACAAACAGTGGAGACTTCATACATTTCTGTTCCTGTCTCTGGGAAATAAAGTTACTTTCCAGATAGCCAGAACATCACATCCACGGTTGAGTGGCGTGGTGTTTCACAGGGTAGTGAGCCCTGTAATACATAGAGTTTTTTTTGTTTTTGGTACTGGGGATCAGCTCACGATCTCATGCTTGTCAGGAAGGCACTTATGCCGCTGAGCCAAATCCCCAGCCCTACTGTTTTTATATTACAGATGGCCCCTGCCTTGAAGTTTACCCATTATTACAGCAGTTGCTGATAACAGAACATTAAAAAATTATTCTGAAGTTTAGGAGAAATCTTTTGAGTTTAAATAAGTGTCTTTCATCTACTGCCTTCCGCTGATTACGGTGGGGGCACGGAGTGGCATTCAGGGAGCAGCCAGCACCATCATTCTGTGCACAGCCCTAAAGCAGCTCACGGACGTGGCTAATAAAAGGGGCCTGGGCTGCAGCCTCCTGTCTGCTCTCCTGGGTGCAGCTTCAGTCCCAGCTCATCACTTGGACTCTCGGTTCCCAGCTTCCTTCCGGACAGAGGCAGCCTAGGATTCCTCCACAATGCTGCTCTTCCACTCTTCCATTGAGCAAACAGAGTCAACAATGCTAACAGTCATCCAACAGACATGCAGCGATTAAAGGAAGTGAAAGCAAACATGTGACTATATAAGCAGGGTGACTTATGAGGATGTACGGAATACAGAAGAAAGTGAACCTGGCCTTAGGGAAAGCTCACAGAACCGAGTCCTCCCTAAACATGAGCACACCCAGGGGTGTCCAATCTACTGAGTCTCTTACCCCTGGGTTCCAAAACAACTCAGCAAACACCACCAAGTCGGCCGACGAGAAGGTGAGGCCCATGTTGGCGGCGGTGATGGACAGCACTGCCACGGCATGCCTCTCGGACAGCTGGAACTGCTGGCACAGGTCCTCTCTTTCTGCCGACGGGGTGGACCCATCAATGCGGATATGGGGCACATGCTGCAGGGACAGAGTGGAAACCAACATGGGCTGCTGAGCAAGGCGCACCAGTCACAGCTCTGAGGACAGAGCCACACTCCTGCTCTCAGGGCGCTCCCTCTCTTAAAATTATACTGAGACCATTGTACCATTGTATGAAATAACAGAGACCCTATGTGCATGGCGCCAGCCTCACTCCACGGAAACATTCTGGAAAACTACAGTACATCCTGATCAAGAGGCTGACTTTGATAAAATGCACTGAGCTTCAAATATCCCATTCCGTGGGTATTTTCTACACATTTTATCATTCACTCAGGTTTTCTTACATCCCCCTCTCCACAGTCAAGACGCCAAACAGTTCCAACATCACACTATCCTTTTGCAGCCCTTTCAGATCCTTCCTTTTCCCCTGGTCTTTAACTTTTGGCAGCCACCAATCTGTCCTGTATTTCTACAAAGTCTCATTTCACAAAAGCTAAAAAAAAAAAAAAAAAATTTAAAATTAAAATGTTTATCTTCCATTCAGCAGAACCTTAAGTTAAAAAAAGAATGATCAATGTGATCAATAGTCAGAATTTATAAAAAAATTTTTCTACATCACTAGAAAAAGCCAAACTAACAGAAATACAGGTAAAGAATACAAATAGAATCCTTAAAGAGAGCAAAAATGGCTAATAATAAGATAAAAAGGTATTTTGCCAGTAGTCCCAGAAGTGCAAGTGAAGCCAGAATGAAAGTAGGTTTCATTTCTCTGAACTTGCAAAAGTAAAACGCCTCACAAAACCAAGTATACAAGCAGAACAGCCACAATTCTCACACGCTGCTGCTCAGATCAGGACTGTGAACAGCTATCCTGGACAGTCAAGATGAAGGTGAGTCTATCCGATGACCATGCAAGCAATACCATGCCTGGACATATACAGGCACACAGAGACATGGACAGGAACACAGGCTCATATTCAAAAATAAAAGACAGCAAAAACTGCCAATAAAATTGAATGTCCATCAGCAGGAGAACGGATGAACTTGGACACTCACCCAGGGAGACAGTCCTGGGCAGAATGAATGAGCTACATGTTATTTACACTGCACAAAAAGTCTCAAAAACCATGTTGAGCAAAATAGCAAATTGCAAGATGCGTACTCTGTGCTACCATCTATGCAATTCTGTGTGTGTGTGTGTGTGTGTGATCGAACTCACAACCTCACACTTGCCAACAGGCACTTAGGTCATTGAGCTAAATACCCAGTCCCCCATTTATGCAATTTTAAAATAACTGGAAACTGTGTATTAATTAAGGATATAAGCTCTCAGTGTGAGGTACGGCACTATGGAGGGGAAGGGTACACAGTAATTAAGGGTAGTGATGCTGTCTTTGGGGAGGAAGAAATGGAAATGGACTCAGCATACGAGGGGCCCTAAGAATTTGATTATTGAAGACTAATATACCTTAAAGGCTAGAGATGTGATATAGCAGTAGAGCGTTTCCCTAGCATGCTTAAGGCTTTGAGTTTGAGCCCCACAATATAAGGATAAATAAACAAAAGTAAACCTTTAAATGAATACAGTGAAACTTTTCATTTATTAAGTCTTCGTATATTACTCTGTACCTGTCTGTATGTTTAAACATCACCTAAGTATAAAAAATGAAGGAAGACAAAGGGAAATCATGTTTCTAAGCTTAATTAAAAGTGAAAACAGAGTGAACTTACAATGTGTTTAACTTTAATCAACATCCTTAGAAAACCCTCTCACTTTGCTTTTTGATGAGAGTCCTAAAACTGTGTGGGGTAAACACAATGCTATGTGAATTAATAAAGGCAGCTGGAGAGCTATGAAGAGGAACAAAAGGGGTACAGGAGGACATTCACAAAAATACTTGACTCCCCAACAATTTTCGCTATTCCGTCTCTGGCCACTTTTGTAACTATGGATGCAGGATAATGAAAGAGACTCTGGGAGATCTCCTACAGCAAGACCCTGGGATCTCTATCCAGAGACAGAGACAGTACGGTGACATAGCTGGGGGAACAGTCTCATCCCACTGTGCTTCTACAAGTAAGAGCTCTTCTTTAGCAAGCTTTCAGCAAACCTTACAGTTGCCTAGATCCAACGTAACCCTGCCCACAGCATCCTGATGCAGGGGCTATAAAAGTCAGAACCCTTTGCTGAATTTTGAAGGCAGCTCACCTTTCTCTCCAGTTCCTTAGTAATTGCATCCAGGACCATCTTATGGTGTGCAAACACAAGGAACTTCTCTCTTCCACTCTCCAGGAGGTCCAGGATATATTCACTGTATTTGACAATGAAATGCAATAGGTTCAATATATACTCTTCCAGTTGAGGTAAAGTCACTGATGTTTACAGCAGACTCCTGGAGGATATCTCCCACCCCAGCCCACTCACTCCCTGTTCTGGGAGCTGACCTGTCTTCTCCTCCCGCACATCAGCTCAAGGGAACTCTAGCACATTGTGCAGCTGTGGGGAAGACATCACGCACCAACCACAGAGCTACACTTTTGAGGCATTTGACACAAATACATTGAAGTAGGCTTATGCTTTATGGGCCTCTGGTATGCTACTGAGACATTCTTATTAACTGCGGTCACAGAAGATAATTTACCACTTTCACTTGGGCAGCTGCTATCACTACACTCTGCAACACAAAACACAAAACGGAAACGCCTAAGTAGGGGGTTAAAGCACTCTGGACAGCACATGCATTTCTGGAACTCAGCATTGAGATATAAGTAACTATGCAATGGGTTTTCAGGTTGTCCACACCATGCTATGTAGACTTCAGACAACAGGGCCCACAGTCAAGTCAATGGTGACTGAGCTCTTCAAGACAAAGGAACATGGTAGGCAGTGTCTTGTTTGCTCAGTCTTCCTTTAATTTCATTCTCTTCTCCACCT